TCTAATCAAGAGTCCATATGGATATAAAAGTATAATTAGAAACATAATATATAACAAAGGTGGCATTTTAAATCAGTGGGTAAAGATGAATCATTAAATAATTGGTGTTGAGATAGCTAGCTATCAATTTAGAACAATTTAGCTCATATCATTCATTAAAGTAAGTTCCAGATGGCTACAGAACTAAATTTTAGAAGAAATATGAATAATATATACTATTTTTAAAGAATTAGGTAGGTTTATTTGCAGAGATGCCATGTATCATTTTGAAGTTTGTGCTTTACAAAAATGATCTATGACCAGAGGTACAAATGAAGCATGACATCCAGCTTTGCCTCTGCTTGTCAAGCTGTATGCCATGGTTCAGAAGGGAATCTTTTCCTAATTTGTCCACCTGAAGTAGGAGCTCTGTGCACTCTGCCACCAGAAAGAGGCATATTTTTCTAACTAGTGCAAAGGACTTACATGCCAGCAGCAACCTACAAAGAGAAGTTACTAGTAAATACTCGATTTGTACATACATAAATGCCTTTTTTACACAAATGCTTGCTATAGACTGAATGTGTCTACTCAAAATTCATACATCGAGGGCCTAACCCCAATGTGGCAGTATTTGGAGATGGAGTCTTTGGTAGTGGAGGCCTCATGGTGGGAGTCACATCCTTATAAGAAGAGACACCCAAGCCCTTGCTGACTCTCTCTCCCCACCATGTAAAGACAAAGCAAGAAGACCCCATTCTGCAAGCTAGGAAGAGAGCCCTCACCGGAACCTGACCATGCTGGCACCTTGATCTTGGGCGTCTAGCCTCCAGAACAGTGAGAAAACAAATTTCTGTTGTTCAAGTCACCCAGTCTATGGCATTTTGTCATGATGGTCCAAACTAACTAGTACAGTGGTATTATATTGTTAAATGTATTGAGCTTTTTGTTGCTGCTCTTAAACTTCATTTTAATAGGTACATATAAAATAGATAGCATGTATGTATATGTGTTTAAAAATGATGAAAGCAATGACAGAGAAGAGACTGCATGAGGGTAGTGGTCAAGGACACTTTTGCTTTAACCTTTTAAAAAAATTTATTAAAATATCCTTATTATTGCATGTTTTATTTAAAATATTTTAAAAATATTTATTTTAAATGTACCTATATATATGTACCTACATAAAATCAAGTTTAAGAACAGCAACAAAAAGCACAATACATTTAACAATATAATACCATTGTATTAGTTAGCTTAGGCCTTTGTGACAAAATGCCATAGACTGGGTGACTTGAACACAGAAAATTATTTTCTTACTATTCTGGAGGCTAGAAGCCCAAGATTAAGGTGCCAGCATGGTGAGGTTCTGGTGAGGGCTCTCTTCCTGGCTTGAAATGTAGCCTTCTTGCTTTAATATTTTGAGAAAAAGTATGTTGGTATTTCATGCTATAAAAGTCAATTGATAGGAATTGTTTATATTTAATGAATACTGTTTTCCAGGCAGTCAATTTGTTACATTCAAAATATCATTTGATCTTATAACAGTCTTAAGAACTAGATACTGTTTATATCCTCAATGTACAGATGAGGAAACTGAAGTACAGGGAAGTTAAATAACTCATCCAAAGTTCACGCAGCTATAAAGGATAGAGCCAGAATTTTAATGACAACCTGATTCTAGAGCCTTCCCTCTTAACCTCAATGGCATGTTGAGAAATAAAAGCAGGGTATTAGGAAATTAGGCAGTTAGTGCAAACTGGGGCAAAAACAATTTTGATAAAATGATGAGGGCAAAAGACATAATTTAATAGATTGAGAGGGTATATCATTTTTTCATGTTGAACCACATGAAATTGCCAATACTCAACCATTTTGACCTACAAAATGGAATTTATGTGGTTCAAACTAATATATCAGTTTATTTATGAATATTGTTTTTAGGAAATATAATATTATAATTTAAAAATAGAAAAGGGAAGTAAATGACAGAAGTTTTCAAAGCCTCAAACATATGTGTGCATTTTCTGAACACACATCTGGAAACCGCTTCAAACCATCTTATTCTGATATGAAAAGAAGTGTCCATAGTTAAAATATTAAACACAAGGTTTATGAATTGTATTTCAGTAGTACAGAAAAATGTTTTAACCAATCAACCAAATTTCTTAGTGCTACGTAGTTATGAAAGAAGACAATTTCTAGTTACTATCAAAAGCAAAAACTACCTGCAATTTTTGTATGTTGAACTCTATCTCCCTAAGTCACAAAATGAGGAATATATTTCTATGATATAATCAAAAATTTTCTGAAAATTATTTCTTTTGTATATCCTGATATTTTAAAGGCCTTTTCACTGATTTCCCATTGGCAAATAAGCATTTGACTCATAATTATCTGAATCTACAGCATTTTAACAAGAATTAAACAAACAGATTATAGGCCTTTAAAAGTTGATCAACTCAGTCCTTAGAAGTTATTGAGTTCAATTTTACAGAGGACAAAACAGAGCCTTGTGGAGGTTACATGACAGACTCTCCCAAGGTCATGTACAATTCAAAGGAGAGTCAAGACTAAAACCTCGGTCTCCTGGCTCCTAATCTTTAGTACTCTTTTTAGTATCTTATAATATGCCTATTTTTTCCTGTTATGTAATGTAGATTAATCTGATTTTCCTTTTCTTCTTTTTCAGCTGAAGTTCTGAATCAGCTAATCTTGATAATTATTGGGACAGGAAGCAAAAGACTGAAATGACACTGTAATCAAAAAAGCTCCCTGACTATGAGGGGTAATTTTAGTGGAAGCCTGTTTCCTAATGCCGGAACTACATATCTGTTCTGTTTTCCCCATTCCTTTTAATTTCTGTGGCTCTCTTTTGTTTTGCTGGGATAGCTTTGGACTGATCAACTTGCCTTTGCCTTGCTCTTTAGTATTTAGCTATTTGGGAATTCTTCTTATCCACCTCCTTGTTTCTGACCTGTATCCACTTAGGTCTTGGTTTGGTTTGTTAATCAGTGTTCTCATTGGTGGCTTCACCTTTTAACCACAGCCCTGGCTTTGGTATATTCATAGTTCTCTCAATAATAGATTATACTAAACTCGAAAATCCTGAGGTACCTGGAAAATAATGTGCATTTCATCCAGAAAATCCTTAAGAATGCTTAGCATCTGTTTGAAACCCCAGATTCAATCTACAGCCTTGGTGAGAGTTGGAGATAATTGTCCCATGGATCACAAAGGAAGCTTCCTAGATACAAGTGAACCTTATTGTATCAAATGGTCATGTCGTCCAAAGTTACATGTAAGTCTGAGGGGCGATTTTAAAAATAGGCTTTATTTGTTATAGTGATTTTAGGTTCACAGTGAAATTAAGAGTTCCAGAATTCTTTTTTTCAGTGACTAACTTAGGTAAATGTATCAAGGAAGCTCACTATTTCAAGGAAATTTACTGTAAGTTATGTTACAAAATGAGATATCTTTCTTCTTTATCTCTTGTGAAAATCACTAAGGAGCTAGCTAAATTAGACAACTATGTCAGTTATCAATGCATTGTTTCACAGCTCTAAGTCCACCCTTCATTGCTCTCTGAAAATGGAGGTGGACCTTCTGTCTATCCCTTGGAACTGGCAAAATATTAAGCGGTATCAGGAAAGGGTGCTTGAAGGACACTGCAGAGAAAGAGAATTTTCTTCCTGGTTTGTGTGTTTATGCCTTCTTGTTCCTACGGTATAGCAGCCAGCAGCACTTGTAGGGGACACAAGTGTTGCTGTGTTCATGGAGTTCCAATGGCACACCCATGATCAGTGTCCCATCAAATTTCAGAGGTACTTCCATACTCAGGTTTCCACTGAGCCTTGCAAATATTTCAATAGTTAGTGTCCAGTGTTGTCCTGCCTGCACCCAAGTTGGGTGTTCCCTGTTTGCCTAGTGACTATTGAACTAGCTCTGCTTAACCCACTCAAGAACTTCTCCACCATTCCGAGGGTCATAATCATAGCTTCTACAGTAAGGTCTGAATCCCAACCATGGAGAGGGCTCCTCAATTCCAAACTTGTTTCTTCCATGGGAACTCTTCTTCAGCCCTAGGGTATTTTTTAGCATGCTATTTACTTATTTATATAAAAAGGATTTCCTGTTAGAGTTTCTCATTCTTTCTATTAAACTTTTCCTGTTCATTTCCCTGTTTTTTGTCTCCTGATTGACCCTAACTGATATAGTAACTTTGGAAAAAATAACTTAAATCTCTTATTGTACTCATATGTAAAATGAGGAGACTGGGCTATTTGATCTCAAATGTCCTTTCTAGTTCTAAAATTACATATTACTAGGAAACTCCAGTTTTTTCATGTATTGAGCATGCCCTAAGTATGTTATAACAAACACTACACAGCACTGTATAATTGAGGTATGTAATTGTAAACCACCTCCAAATTTCAAAGTCTAGTTTGAAGAAAAGAATGTAAAATATCTCATTGATAATTTTTGTATTGATTTCGTGTTGAAATGATAATATTTGGGGGTATATTAGGCTAAATAAAATATATTATTACTAAATTTTATAACATGGATAGAATATTTAAAATTACACACGTGGTCACGTATTTCTGTTGCATAGCGCTAGTATATACTGTGTTTGGGTACTGTCTCCCCACTCTCCATCACAGTAAATGGGTCTTTCTTCTTATTTGAATAATGTTTTCCCCTTCCTGGGTCAAAAGACAGTTACAGCAGCAGCGACTATCATTTTATGCACATAGTGGGTAATCAAATACTATCAAATCCTCTGTGAGGGTTTTAACTAGGAAGCTATCTAAGGAACAAAATGAAAAACCAGAGGTTCATGTACAAATATGAGAATTTAAAATGCATTATAGATATCATCGTATCCATTTGTGAATATAAATATTGACAGAATACATTAAGTATAGAAAAATGTTCCCTCTGATATTATTTATTCTAACACATTACAAAAGACTCCATTCACCACCTCTATTACCACGCAACTTAAAATTTTCTTTTACCTTTCTCTGTCTTTTAGTGACTGTTCAGCCATTAATTTCTTCAGTTCTTCTAGGCGCTGAAGATCTCTCATTTCCATTTCTTGCCACTTCTGTTGTTTCTTAGCCCAGTATTTTTTAATCTATTGTATAAATGTTACATAAAATTTAAATTAACAACAGATATGTAAAAATGGGGAGAAAAGCCATAACATTATCCATTGGTTCATATTACAAAATTGAATTTAAAGGGCACTTCATCTTTTTTGTTTCATAGATATGCTTATAATATATTGGCAACAGAAAAATAAATTAAAGCATGAAGATATATGCCCTGAGAAACTGCAAGGTTTAACAATTTCTGCAGTGAATGGAAATATAACTTGTGCTGAGACCTAAGGTTTTAATTTATGGCTAAAATAATTGACTTTCCAGAGAACCACAATAAAAGTATGTTATTGTCTCTAAAGTATATGATCTACCTGTTACTCAAGAATATTTTTATCTTCTTATGGTAATGCAGTCTTTAACAAATATAGCATTAAAACTATTTTTACTCTAAAAGCATTAGTTTATTTATGCTAATGGACAGCAGGATGTTGAAAGCTTTATGCTTCTGGGGAAGTGGCAGGAGATAGGTGGGAGGAAGGAGGTAAAGAGCAGATTAGCAGGGTTGTGGTATAAAGTAGTTCTGACTTATGTGGTAAAATAAAGGTCAAGCTTATCAAGTGCACAACGGTGAAAGCAATGTTATTGTTAGGCCTGTTTCACTTCCCTCTTCTGGAAATGGAAGCAAAATGAGAAAACCAGAAGTACATACAGGCTGTTTTCAGGGAGCTGAAACTCTTATTCAGGATTTACCAATGTGATGGGATAATTAATGTTTATTTGACAGAGGCCCATTCCACCACTCTGGCCTGCCATGTTGGGTCTGGGTCAAGAGACTGGCTCTTGCAGGCGAGTACCTCAATGGTAAACGATGAGTGACGACTGGCAGCAGGGGTCTGCTGTAGAGGCTGGGCTAGCCTCACCCCTGAGGTGGCATTTCCTCTTTGGAGAGAGAAGTGAATAGGAAAATCTAAGTGGTTTCCTGACTTGCCCTAGCAACATGGTCTCTGATTTCTGGGAGAACCAAAAGAAGCATCCCAAGCACCATAGCCAAAGACACAGCAACTCTGCAGCCACAACAGCAACATCTGTTCACTGTTTAATGAATAACTAAATAAGCCCAATGTGCAGTGATATCCACTCCAGAGATGAAGGAGCTCTGGATTTAGAGAGAACAGAGATAAAGCTAGAAAGGCAGCAGCCCCAACGATGACGGAGAGTGAGAGAGAGGGTGGGTGCAGGAGAGAGAGGAAACATTGATTGATAAGGAGTGTTCCAGAGTTCTAACTGTGTAGAATTAGTAGAAGGTATATTTTAAATGTCTAACTGATAAATGCCAGGAAATTCTACTAATGACAGACATGGAAATGTTAGCAATGATTATATCATCTCCATCTGGGAATTATAAACAATCTTTATCTTATTCTTTTCTGCATTACCTTATTTTTGCAATGAATATGTATTTCTTTTACAATCAGAAAAAAAATTAAGCTACTTCAAAACAAAATTTTTTCAAAAGAAAAGATATTGAATCAAAGAGTATTTTTCTCTGGGTTAAAACAGACCAGTAATATTTCCTTACTCCCAGGATTGGCCTTAGAGGAAGTCACTGGCTCTTTTGTAGACAATCCCTTGACCACAAGCAGAGCAACCCCAGGTTGCTGGCATCCTCAGATTTCTGACACCACTTGATACACTGTCCTATGCAGGCTCCAGATGTATGTATGTTATTCCTGGAGCTTTTTTCAACCTCAAGACCAATTATGTCCATCTTTGACTCTCTGCTATCTTCAGGCATTGCTATAGTATAAATGTTTCTCTCTCTCTCTCTCTAATCCTTTTCAGTGTTTTCTATTGGGTCCTTCAGAAAACCATTTCCCTGTTTTCACTGAAATTCTCTTGAGTGAAGGATACTCATATTCTGATACCCCATGTGCCATGGGGCTGAGGAATAGCTTGGGCATTTTCCTTATTGTTAACTGCCAGTTTCAGACCATTATGATAGATACAATTCCTTCTCCCTTTGGCGTTACCTGGATATAGCACCTTCTACCTGTCTTTGCCATTGGCATGTGTAAATTTCCAAGTCATTCTCAAATTCGCATCAAGAATTCAGACACTCGAGTCACAGCCTTCTCAAACACAGGCAACTTCAGCCTGTCTGAATGCCCTTCCAACCTGTTATTCTCATAATTCCGTGACTTCCTCATTCTATGGAACTTCTTCCTCCAGGATTCTATTATCATTGAAAACAGTTCCAACTCAGCAATCTTGAATTATAACAATAGACTCTGTGACCAGAACCGACCCTCCCCACTTCCCATCATCCTTTGGGCTCTGATTATATAATGCTGTTTCCCTAATGCAGGTCTCATCACAAGGCTTTCCTAATTAATATACTTTTCTTCTCTCCCACTAGGCTGCAAGAATTGTGATATATTCAACACATATGTGTCTAAAACACAGCATGTACTTAATAACCATTTGATTGATGACACAATTGTGCAAACTAGTACTAAATTTATGGTTTCAATTGACTCTTAAATGACAATAACCATTCCATTTGTAAATTCCGGGACAATGCCTCTCAATTTCTCATAGTGACATTCTAAAACCTGTTCACTATGTTCAGCTCCATGCCTGCTGCTATTTCCTCACTTTCATCAGAGCAAATAGAAGCGCTACAAGATACCTTTCTTACTGTTCAGCCCGACAGAAGAAGAGGTATTCTTCTTTCTGTTCAAGACTAATGCTTCACCAGGGCCGCAGATCCCATTCCCAATTCCACCGCATTCATAGCCTCCCTCGTCACCTGTCCCCTCTCTCCCCTGTACCTTCAGCTTCTTGCTCTTTGCTGCATCCTTCTCACATGGAATTAAACATAATTTTATCCCATTAAAATAATTTAGAAATTCTTTAGAACTCCAAGATTGTAGCATCATACCTTTCATTGTTCTTCTTTGGCCAAGCATCTTAGAATACTTGCTTTCTTTCATGTGCACATCTTCTACTTTACTCCTCACCCGTGGTATTCCTCCCTCTGTAGTCCATTCCAAAGTCACTGCTCTCACCAGCGACTTCCAAAGGATAAGATTAAATATCCTTTTCAATTACAATTTTACTTGATGTCTCTGTGTATTTTATTCCATTAACCCTTACCTATAGTATTAAACTGTTATTGACTTTGAAGCTTTGACATTCATTTGTTCAACAAGTATTTATTGAGCACATAATACTGGTGCCTGAAAAGAAATAAAGACTCTGCCTGGTGGAATTGAGACTTTCTAGAAAGGGAGAACGCCAGTAAATGAATGAATGAATAGGATATCGCATGTTGTATTAACTTCTAAGAAGGGGATAAGTAGGATGATAATTTAGAAAAAATTGAGTAGAATTAGTAGAAGGTATATTTTAAATGTCTTAAATAGGACATTTGGATGAAATGCCATTTGGCTGAAAACCTGGTAGATGAGAGTAAAACACCCATGGGAAGAGATGGAGGGGAGTACTTTGGGAAGAGGGTGCAACAGCATTGGACAGGGAAGACCTCACATATGTTGGGAACTGGGAAGAGGCCAGGGAGCTGGAGCATGTGGTATAAGTTAAGACTGGAAGCAAGACTGGAGAGTTGCCTGGGGGTTAGATGATTGGGCCAGGGTTTAGCTCTAGAAACAAGGAAAAGCCATTGAAGTGATTAAAGCAAATAGTAGCATGGTCTGACTTACATTTTAAAAAGAGAGCTCTGTCTATGAAGTGGAGCATGGAGAGTAGAGAAGCTAAGGAGAAACAGGGAAACCAGACAGAAGGAAAAGGCAAAGGTGGTCCCTTAGACTCAGGAGATGGAATCAAGTATTCAGATCTGAGATGTGCTTTTGAGTAGAATCAGAGGGCTTATTGAGGGATTCCATATGAAGATTGGAGGAAAGAGTAATCAAGGATGATTCCTAGGTTTTTGCTTGAACAGCTGGTTGAATGGTGATACTAGTAACTGAGATAGACGATTGGGAGAATAACAGGCTTGGAAAAGGAAGACAATTGGGAGCTCAGTTTTGAACACATAACACTTGACAGGCCCAGAAGACTTCTAAGTGGAGGGGCCAGACAAACATCTGAAGGCACAAATGGGTGGCTTAGGGAAGAACTCAGTGCTGGAGACCTAAATAAAGGAGATGGCCACATAAACAGTATTTGATGCCATAGGACTGGATGACATCTCTAGGATGAGGATGTAAACAGGAAAGAGAAGGTGGTCATGCACTCTAATGCTTATTTGCTTTTCTGCACAGCTTTCTCTGCTAAAATGACTTAATTTCCCCTTCCATTTGTGAAGCTTACTCTGTCTTTAAGACCAGAAAAAAATGTGACCTCCTCTTGGAATCTTCTCCTGAACCCTCTAGAAAAACAGTAGCTCCATCCATGGCACACCAGTGGCTTATAGTTTATGACTCTACTTTCTTTGACTACCTGCATTCCTTGATTATTTTTCATGAGGTTCTGCCCCTGGATCTCTACCAATGTATCTGGGCATTTACTACATGCCTGAAAACTTCTGCCCTCTCTCATTGTTTGGTAAATCTTTCCTATCCATCCTAAAGACTCAGTTTTGGCATTGCCTTTTCAGACTTCCTCCTTCTCCCTCTCCTCCAGACATAGCTGGTGTACCTTCTATGGCACTATTTGTGTATTCTTAATATAGCATTTCCCATATTGATCTGCATTATTTATCTTTGTATCCTTAGTAGCTTGTATCATGTCTAACACATAAGAGGGTATAATTGATCACTCAGGTGACTGGAAGCTTCTTCTGGTCTCTGGTCCAAGAATAACAAAGTTGTACTTGGGAACCAGGCCAGCAGTTTTCTTTTCAGGATGGTAAAGGCTGAACTAAGTACTTCCCTAAGGACAGTTCCATTCACTTTTCATCAGTTAATTCATCCTACAATGTATGTATCAATCCTGTAATTGATAGACACAGGAAGTATGTATCAAGAATTATTATCTTTTCAAGCCTCAAACCGAAGTCAAGACTAGGGTA